CGCGGGGCCCAGCCGGGTCAGGAAGGAATCTCTGCCCTGCTCCATGGGAAAGGGTCGCTCCGTGTGGGGCACTGTGTGGGTGGGGGGGCCGAGTCCTCCTCTGCTCTGAGTTGCTGCTCCAGGGAGGCTAGATGGGCCTGTTGGAAAAGGTCAGGGCAGCCTGAGCCTGGGCACCTCTTGATGCCTCCTGAGATTGCCCCATTCACAGCTGGTTCCCGGATGGGGCAGCTCCCATGCGGGGCTGGGAGGTGATGGGAGGGCGAACTGGGCAACTGCAGGAGGGGATGTGGTTTGCTGGGCGTTGCAACGATCTGGCTTTGCTCTGACCACAGTAGATTTGGCCTGGAGATTGCAGAGAAACCATCTGTTGGGGAAGAAAGGGGCCGAGTGCATCATGGGCTTCCTGGGGCTGCAGCCCCCAGCGCAGTTCCTCATTCCGCTCGCACTCGGGCCTCAGGCTCGGCGGAGCTGGACATCAGGGTGTTGGTGGCAGCACTGAGGGGTCCCCACTGCCCCGTCATGTCGTCTGCTCTCACCGTCCTCCTCGGTGAGTATCGGAGATAGCCAGGGCGTGTGACCATAGGGGGGGATCTGAGACCAGGGTGTGTGTCCAAGAGGGGACGGGATCTGAGACCAGGGCGTGTGCCCATGTGGGGGATCTGGGACCAGGGTGTAGGATCCACTTGCTCTGGGATCTAGCCCCTAACACTGGTTTCCTTTCCAGGCTGCTGGCTGGCTGGGCACAGCGGGGTCTGGGGAGGTGAGTAACATCAATGATGGGGGAGGGGATATATGGTGCGGGGAAAAGAGGAACTGAGCCCTGAACCTTCCCCAAAACTCAACCCAAACTCCCCCTGTCATCCCCATTCTTCTATGCCCCCCCACACCCCATAGAGTAACTAGGAGTCGAATCTGGCTCCTGGGGTCTGACGAAGCAGATGGGAACCGTCTCCTGGTTCAATGTCCTGCCCCCCCGCAGGCTGTGAGGATTGGGGGTGGGGGCAGCACGTGGATTTATTTCAGCTCATACAAATGCTAACAGGGCCCGTCCATGGGCTCTAGTTCCCATCAGGGAACCGAAACGTTCACGGTCAGTGCAGCCGTGGTGAGAACTCCCCAGAGGCACCCCTGCTCCCAGATCCACCCCCCTACTGTCCCCTCCCCTGCACTCACAGCCGCCCCGTTCCCAAGGCCTGGGGAAAGGTGGGTCTTGTGCGACTCCCACTGGTCACAGACTCTATTTCCAATCCCAGGGCGGGGGGGCAGAGCTGCAGGGGGCCAGTGGTCAGGCTCCTTGGCTGGCCTCAGGTGGGGCCAGGGCGGGCCCAGTGATCTCTCATGCAGCCGGAACCTGAGCTACGTCTGGGTGAACCCCCTACCCCAAGCCCCATGGGCAGCAGTGCCAACCTGGGTAAGGGACAGACTCCTAGAGAGGCCGAATGATGGATGGACTGAATTGGGGTGGGGAGGGGACATATCGGGGACTGTGTCTCCCCTGTTTAACTCCTGTCTCTTGTTCAAAGCAGGGCGAGAATTTCCCAAACCCACCATCTGGGTGAGCCCCAGCCGGGTGGTGGCGCTCGGGGGAAGCGTCACCATCCGCTGTGCGGGTCGGTACCCGGGCATGGAGTTCTTTCTGCGTAAAGCTGGACACCCGAACCTGCAGGTTCAGATGGTGCCTGATGGGACCGTGGCTGAATTTCCCATCGCCAGTGTCAGCCGGGAAGATGGAGGGAGCTACACCTGTGAATATCGCTCCATAGTGGAACAGAATCGCATATCGCATCCCAGTGACTCCATTGAGATCATTGTAGGAGGTGAGGGAGGGGCCCGGCTCAGGGGCCCAGCTCCCAGTCCCCCACCTAGCCAGACCCACAGGGGGTCTCTGCACCGATAGGACGCTCAGAGCCAGGCTCTGCCCTGAGCCCTGGGCCCAGCAGAGGGGACACCCGGACGGGGAGCGGGGAAGGAGTCACTGAGGGGTTCCCCAGCCAGGTGGGAGCAGCAGCCACTGGAGATTTTCTGCAGAGGAAGGGGGGAACCGTCCCCAAAGGGGAGCTGCAGAGCAGGGGGGCTTTTCCAAGGCGATGGGCAGAGCTGAAGTTTATAAACCTCAGTGTATAGTAGAGACTTGCACAGTCCCCTACAAGTCAGTGGTGGTGCTGTGCACAGAACCCAGGAGTCCTGGCCCCAATCCTCCCTGCTCCCCACTCAGAGTCGGGGATAGGACCCAGGAGTCCTGGCTCCCAGCCCTCCCAGCAGAGAAGCCAGGGAGTGAAGGGACCCTGGAGACTGGACTGGCCTGTCACCCGCTAGGGAGCAGAGCTCTGGGCCCCCAGGGGCTGGGGTTGCTCCGTGTCTCACGCTGTTAGCCCAGGGCTCAGAGGAAATTCTGGCCCCTGTGGAAAGGCATCCAGGAGCCCGTCCCCAGGGCTGCCGGGTCTAACCTGCCACTGACGCCGTGTGGTGAGGACGGGCCCCAGGACTGAGTGACGGGGCCTGCGTCTCACGGCCTGTCTGCTTCCCACTGCAGAGCCCAGCTACCCCAAACCCAGCATCTCCCTGAGCTCCAGCGGGGGGGTCTCCCTGGGGGGAGCCGTGAGCGTCTGGTGTCGGGGGCAGCGCTGGGGCGTGCGGTTCGTGCTGAATAAAGAGGGACGCCATTTCCCACCTGTGGATTCGGACGACAATGAGGCTGTGTTTCCCATCAGCAACGTGCGCCGGGAGGACGGCGGGAGCTACAGCTGCTCCTATCACAGCAGATCGGAGCCGTTCACTGTGTCGTACCCTAGCGACCCCGTGGAGCTGGTGGTGAGAGGTGAGGGGCCCGGCTCGGCGTCCCCGTTCCCAGCCCCACCCCCAGCCAGACCCTCACAGGGGCTCGGTGCCAATGGGATGCTCAGAGCCAGAGCCCTGACGCAGCAGAGGGGATGCCCGGCAGGGGAGCGGGGACAGAATCACTGGGGGGTTCCCCAGCCAGGAGCAGCAGCCCCTGGAGACTCGGGGCAGGGAGGCTACTTTAAAGCTGCCCCTTGTGCATACGAACCGTGAGTCGCTATTTAATCCCGTGATCCCATCCCCCCTGTTCTCCAGGCCCCGCCCCAGGCAGGGCCCCGGCCGGAGCTGAATGAGGCAGGGGCTGCAGGAGAAGCGGTGGCTTGGTGGACACAGCGCTGGGCTGGGACCCAGGAGATCTGGCCCAGCTCCTGGTGTGGCCACAGACTCTGTGTGATGGGTGCACATCACAGTTGCCAAAAGTGTCCTTAATTGTGGGGAGGCCTCAATCTTGGGGGATCTCAGGCCAAGCACCCACAAACCGAGACGCCCACAGTTAGCAGAGATCTCTGCAAACGCTGGCCTCAATAGCGCTGGATCTCTTTCGTTGTGGGAGCATGTAGGGCCCCCGCCATGATCAGGGCCCCGTTGTGCCAGGTGCTGCATAAACACAGAGTGAAGAGACAGTCCCGGCCCCTGGGAGCTCACTAAGGAAAGTGAATCTGTCTGTGCCTCAGTTTCCCTCTGTGTAGAATGGAGATAAAGACCCCTCTCTGCTTCCCAGGGGGCTGACTCCCTTCCTTTGTGGAGCTCGTCTCCTGCGGTGCCGGGCACCAGAGACCAGCCTGTGAGTTGCTCTCTGCTCGGGGGCGGGGAGGGCTGGATGCAGTGAACGAGGCGGGGCCACACATGGGCATATGAGGATCCCAAGCACTAGGGAACCGTGGCTCGGTGTCTGTGGGGCTGGGATCCCAGCTCGCAGGGCCGGGATTCTGGGTGGGTGGAACTCTAGGATCTGGGAGTGAATCTCTGCCTGGGGGCCCCGGGATCTGCCCATGGCTGGGACTGGCCGGGAAGGCCGGGGCTGGGTGGGTACCCGGGTCTCGCTCTCACAGCCTGTCTCCTGTGCGCAGATCCCAGATTACCCAGACCCTCCATCTCGCTGAGCGTCACTGGGGACACCATCCGGTGTCAGGGGCAGCGCCGGGACGTGAGGTTCTTCCTGCACAAGGCTGGAGATCGGAACCCGCAGCGACACGTGGACCCTGCTGGGGACGGGGCCGAGTTCCGCATCCCCACCGTGGGCCGGCAGCAGGGAGGGAACTACAGCTGCAGCTACCGGCCCCAATCAGAGCCCTTCATCTCCTCGCAGCCCAGCGACCCCGTGCAGCTGGTGGTAGCAGGTAAGGGTCCTGGCTCGGTGACCCGGCTCCCAGCCCCACACCCAGCCGGATCCTCCGGGGGGCTCTGCACTGATGGGATGCTCAGAGCCAGGCTCCGCCCTGAGCCCTGGGCCCAGCAGAGGGGACACTGGCCGGGGAGCGGGGACGGAGTCACTGGGGGGTTCCCCAGCTGTGGGGAGCAGCAGCAGCTGGAGATTCGGGGATGAACAGGGGGGGATTCCTGTCCCCTGGGCCGGGCGGGGGTAGGGAGAGGAATCTGCCATTGAACCAGCTGTGGAAATGGGTCGTGGTGCCCAGGGGCTGGGGCTGGTTGTGGGGGATGGGGGCAGTTACTCTGGGTGGGTGGGGCCCAGATATCAGGGGGAGTGGCAGCCCCCTGCCCCTCACTCACCACCAGACCCCCGGTTCCCCTGATGCCTCCTGCCCTGCAGGTCGCTGCCTGGAATTTGCTGGAGGATGTCAGGGGAGGGGCAGGATCTGGCAGGATGGGCTGTGAAATTCGGCCCAGCTGGGTGCCAAAGTCCTGGGGCAATAACCGCCCCT